CATTTATTTTGCTAATTTCTAACACTTTTGCTGAATAACACTTTTTAACATATAATTAACATTTTAACACATAATTAACACTTTTTTAATGTATGAAAAAAATGTATAACTCCAAGAAATGGAGCAAGCAAACAGATTCTGATTTTTTAGCTATTTGCTGCTCTACAGCTGGTCATGTGTTTCACTGTTTCTAGGAGGCATCCTAAATTCTCTTAAAAATGCATATATTTGCACGCTCCATATCTATTCCTATGCTATAGACCTGCACGTTCTTTTTAAGAATTATTACTGATCCATGTAAAGTAATGTGCATGGGGGAAACACATGTAACATTACATGTACGACTACAGGCTCCAAATTAGCCGTTGCTATTCAGGAAAAATGTTTTGAATTTAATATGTATTGTTCTCTGAAAACATGTGGGCAGTAAAAGAGCAATCCACTGTTAGGAAATACTAGGAAAGGATCAGAGAAACCCGTAGAGAGCATTCTTATACCACTACACATGCTCTAGTGTGACCACATATTAATCAATGCATAGAATATATGTGTATCAAATAAGGTGATGGAGGAGATCAAAGTCACAGCTTTCAGATGTAGAGTTTTTTTTTTCTAAGTTGGAAAAAATGACTAAGGATATGATAAATGTTATGAACTCAGTGACACAGGGAATACAAATTGGCAAGGATCATTTCCTTGTTTTCATGGCACAAGAAATAAGGCTCATCAAACAGAATTATTACATATAAAAAAAGAAACTTTTTTTTTTTTTACAGTACTAAATGGCTTGTGGAAATCATTGCCAGGGAGTTTCCTAGAAAAATAAAAATAAAAGAAGGGAATGAGACAAATCCGTCAAAGTATTGTCTATTGAAGACAGGCATGATGAGGATACATCTTCTGGCTTGAGAAATCTCTAGGCTTTCTAATTAAAAGAATTCTGCTCCCAATTTCACAGTCACTGGTCATTTTATAGTAATTTCAGCAGAAAAATCTCATTTTAAAGCATTTTTAAATATGTTGATTTAAAAAGAAGGCATTTTATAAGCTTGGCAACTTGCAGTTCATAAGAGTTTTGCCTAGTGGCCAATTAAATATCTATTTAATTTCTGCCGTAATGTCATTTTCCAGTATTCCAATTTTTGTAATCTTTCCAGAGTGAGAATATTGATTTCTTCTTAACAAAACATCAAAAATTTTTCTTGACTCTCATTTTAAATTTTCTTTTAAAAGCCAAGCAAACAGGCAGGGGAGGAGGATTTTTTACCTTAGCTTGTCCTAGTGCCCTGGCATTGCTGGCTGTAGCTTTGGCTGGCATGGTGAAGGCCGTGCCAGTGTCTCTCTCGCATGCACTTGGGAAGGGGAGTTATTCCTCTTCGTGCATTTACCTCTCTAACCGTATGTGCACAAATTTTTGTCTCCACTCCTATCTTTTGCCATCCTCACCAGTGGATTATCCTTAATATCTTGGGGTTGCTTCATGGCTTGGGCAGGTCTCCTAAGGCACTTGCACACTGGCCATGCTGATCCCACGTGAATTCCCGGGGGTAGAGACTCTCTGCCAAGTAGGGATACCTCTGTTGTGGGCTTGGGAGATCCATGGCCTGGTACAGGGGTGGTGGGAAGCGGTTAGTACAACCACTTGATCCAAAGGAATTGTGAAGAGGAACCGCTGGAGCTCACCTAGCGTATCCTCTGCCTTGCCCTGAGATAGGATCACTGCACTTGTGTCGTTCCTCATGGGTGTTTTGCTACATTGTTCCTAAAAAATTCCATTTGGTAGATTCAGTGATCTTAGGTGGCACACACTCGGACTTTGGAGACATACAGATCCTGAAGCAGAGCAGAGGAATGCACAGGCCCTCGGAAAAACAAAAAGCGCTTGTCAAGGGCCATCCCAAGTTCCCCAAAGCTCGACCTCCTCGGCAGCTGCCCAGCTCGATGAGGGAAAGGCAGGAGGCTGAAATTTCAGCTGCTCTTGGTGCCGGGCAGGAGCGCGGTGGGGAGGCAGGAAGGGCGAGCCCCGCTGTCCCGCACGCTGCGTGCCCAGCCCGCGGGCAGAGACTTCCCTCGGTTGTCCCTGTGCTGACGGTGGCCCCGCGCTCGGCTCTCTGGGGACAGCCTGGCAGCCGAGTGGGCCCGGCGGGCCGGGTCCGGGTCCGGCTGGCGCCAGGCGCAGCTCACCTGACCCGCCACACGGGTGTGCTCCCTTCATACTGCATGCGGGAGCCCGCGGCGAGCGGAGCCCGGCAGCGCCGCGACGCCGCCGGACGGGGCGGACGGGCCCCGGTGGGGCCCCGAGCCGCGCGGGAGCCGCCGCCGCTGC